GTCCTGAGCACAACACGTTTGGCGTAGGATTGATGTTTCTTGTAGTAGGTTTTAATTCGATATTGTCCCACAGGGAGGGAAAGTCTTTTGCGAGTTGGGCGGCCACACGGATAAGATCGATAGACAGGCATGATCGCTGAGTATTATTTTGTGAAATCATCTTCATTGCCAGATTACTTCTCCTGCTTAATTAAGCTGCCATGCCGCCGGATCGGTCGCTCGTTTCCCCCTGAAAAATCGCCACTATTTACAACTACTATACCCATACACTGCAAACGCGACCCCCTCCCCACCCCCCTAATTTAACTATGAATGCTCTACTCAAGGATAAAAAAACACATTGAGAGTTCAGCGAACTTTCTTTTTTTTTGGCTTTTCTCATTTGGCTCTGAGGGACAATTTCTATATATAAAAATAGAGATTTTCGCTAGTTAAAGAAAATGCAATTTGAATCTGACAATTACCATGATCTTTCGGCGGTTTATTCAGGTCGGACTGGTATATATTTCCATTTAACTAGTACTGAAACTGGGGTCTTCATTTTACATATGTGTCCAATTGTCATCATTATCACTCTATTCTAAATTAAAATGATACTACAACAGCGACATGGCTTCTAATAGGCTTCTATAATACATTGCCATTTCTGGAGTGCATTCTTATTAAATTAGTACTGGAAACCGGGGTCTTTATTTTACATACAGTACAATTATTATATCCCTATTCTATATTGAAACTATATCTACAGCAGCGGCTACTACTAGGCTTTCATAACACATTGCCATTTCTGGAGGGCAATAGAGATAGCTTTGCTCTTTGTGCAGCGCTTAACAAATACTGACTACCCAAGGAGCTTTCATATTATACGATCGCTAATTGCCGTATCACAAGCAGCAAATTGTTATTCTTCTGGAACAAGCTCCCAAAGCGTCTCCTGAAACGTCCACCTCAAATCTCTAAATGATTTACACCAAATAATGGTGAAATACTTTTTTTCTTCTTCTTCACTATTTGTGGATATGGCCCATACTTGGGATAGCTATTGAAGCCAAAACCACGAATTATCGTCTCGATCGAGAACACGCGTCTTTTACGAACAAGCTTGGTATTCGTCCAATCTTGTGCTTTGATAGACCAATGGAAAGAAGAAGTAAATACAAGAACATTGGCACCCTTAACTCCTCAGTCTAACTCCTCAGTCGGACATGTATAGCTGATCCTATATGGTAGCTACCTACTTGGCAACTGGTTGGCTACTGGTGGATTTTATTTTATTTTTGACTACGGTTTGATCTTTTTTTTTTGGCTTTACTCATGTTTTAGAATCACAAACATAGCATTTACAATCAAACTAAGTTTTACCAAATTTATTGATATCATAAACAACAAACTGAAAGACATGAATATACAAACATAATTATAAATATATTTGAGTCCCTCACCACTTTTGTCTGTAGCCTACAACGTCCGTGACATTTTTAACTCCGGCTGGATCGTGTTTTGCCCATTTGAGACCCTTTACAAAATGATTAAATGGCCAAACTGAGTTTTCGTCTAATTTTAAACCCCGCTAGAGTATTTTCTATATATATATTTGTACACATGAACAGATAAATTAGAGATTTGTTTCAGGCGAAATAGTAGTATCAAAAAAGAAGGGAGGGAGGTTACTAAACTGATTCCTTTTAAATCCTGGGGGTTTTTTATATTGGGTCTAAGCTACCAAAACTGAGGGTTTAATAAAGGGCTAATTTAGGCGGGCCGAATATTTGGGCGGGATTTATTGTGTCAATATTAAATATATTAAAGGCTGTCAGTTGCTAACTGACAATGTACGCGTGCGTATAGTTGTGTACCTATCCTGTGTGTACATAAATATGCTTGGCTACGTGAGTTCAGAATACTCTTGCACTAAACAATGAGTAAATCATGGACGAGATCGTGTATCTAGCCCAGGACACAGTCATGTTTTTGAATGTATATTTATTCCTCAGAAGGG